TAGATATCAGGAGGCGCTACTTCACGGTCAGGGCGGCTAGGATCTGGAACCAACTTCCAAGAGAAGTGGTGCAGGCTCCTACCCTGGGGGTTTTTAAGAGGAGGTTAGATGAACACCTTGCTGGGGTCGTTTGACCCCAGTACTCTTTCCTGCCATGGCAGGGGGTCCGACTAGATGATCTGCTCAGGTCCCTTCCGACCCTAGGAACTATGAAACTATGAAACTTCAATTTTTCTTGTTTTTTCTCCTGCACATAAGGTCTGTGCATGAACAATTTTCATCTGTGGCCAAAAAGGAAAACATTTGAAAGTGCTAGATATGTATGCCTTGTGTTCCTAGAAATTGTTTATAATTTATAAGCATAAGTTTTATGGCCAGAAGCTTGAGAGGGAAAAAGGGTTCTACTGGTGAGAAGGGCTGTCAAAGGGAGTTTCCTTTACATAGGTTACCTACCCACAATTTCTTTATTGGTATTTGGGGAGTTGTTGTAGTGAGACATAAACTTTGATTTTGGAATAGAGGGGCTCAAAAGAGGGGACAGACCTCTTATGTTGTAGCACTCTTCATTCATTTTGAAGCAGTTTTAGACTCCTGCAAAAGTTATCAGAGACATATGTTAATTTTTATGTTCATAGATAGTTTGTTGCATGCATCTCCATTTTTCTGAGTTCTTCTAATACAGATTCACTGTTCTGCAGTGTGTGAGTGGGGAAGTTCTAGTCCTATACATTTCTGTTTGGTTTCACCAGGGTTTGGATGAGGGAGGGCTCAAGCTAATTCAGTTACTTGTCAAGAGAGATCCTAGATATACTGACCTTGTCCCTTTTGATGCCATTAAACTACTGGCAAAAAGATTACGTAAGGAAAATTGTTGCACACAGTAGAGAACAAGCAGTTACTTCATTTTCAGTGACAGCACTAGATTCTGAAATTAATCACAGAATAGGAATGCCCTGAATGAATTTAGATCTTCCACCCAGCTGCTGACACAACTATTTTTTTTAAATGCTAGGATTTTCCCTTTTACGGAATTACAAATTACTGCAAATGGTAATTGAACTGAAACAAAGCCAACAGCCTCCAAGGTGCTTTCATTGAATTGGAAAGCATTTTGCGAGCTAAAAAAGTAGAATGTTGAAAGTACATGCTTTGCAACTGCTTTGCTAATTGGAAAATCTTCTGCGCTTTTCAAGTACAAGGAATAATGATGCTAGCACTTAACGCTCCTCCTCTTCAAATTACTTTACAAATAGTCACTAATTAATACTCACAACACAACTGTGTGGTAGATATTACACCCTTTTACAGATTGGAACTCTGAGTTCTGTTTGCAAACTGAGAATTTCGAAGTAAAAGTACAAACCTGAGCACTGTATACCCCCAATCCTCATGAGGTTTGTGAGAGCCACTGAGCATAGAAATCCTTCTTAAGAGTTTTCTTTGAAACTGACTTTTCTCTGTTGTAAAATTCTATGATTCATAGAAAAATATGACTACGACCACACAAACTGCTACTATGATGTCGTGACATGACATGCGTCATCACTTCAGAGATTCTAAAAAGTCTTCAGACTCCACTGTAGCTTAAGAGGTGAGACCAAATCCCTGCCTCAAGTAATTTACCACTGAAATTTTTTATGTAGAAAAATGAGTGATGATCAAAGAGTAGAGAGGGAAGACAGACAAACAAAGATTACAGTAATAAAATCAAGTGAAGAACTGATATAGGTATGTGCATATAGGTTTGGACCTAAATGGGCAGAGATTTGTGGCTTAGAATCATAGAAAATTAGGATTGGGGACCTCAGGAGGTAATCTAGTCCAGCCCTCTGCTCAGTGCAGGACCATCCTCAATTATATTATCCCAACCAAGGCTTTGTTTTAAAAACCTCCAAGGATGGAGATTCCACAGCCTCTCTGGGTAATCTGTTCCACTGCTTTTCTACCCTCCCAGTGAGAGTTTTTCCTAATATCTAACCTAAACTTCCCTTGCTGCAACTTGAGACCGTTTCTCCTTGTTCTGCCATCTGCCACCACTGGGCACAGACTAGCTCCATCCTCTTTGGAACCACCTTCGGGGAGTTGAAGGCTTATGTATGTGCAAAATGCATTGTCTCTCTTTCTCTGGTAGCACTCACCTCGGTTGGGCACTCAATGACTGTAGTAGTATTTGGAACCCACCACAATGGGCCCAGTGCATTGTAAACCTCAGTAGTCTAAATCAGGGTGGCAATTATTCTGCTTTAGGCATTTGGGTGAGCTGTTGAGGGCTTGGATGGGGGGACAGGGGATACTGGCCTGGCCAGGCGCAATTGGGAGGGAGGAGGCGGGGCACTGACCTGGCCCAGCATGGCAGGGGGAGGAGGGCAAATGATGATCCTGTCTGCCCTGCACCCACTGCTGGGAGCACCAGATGGGATGGGCAGGCAGGGTCTCTATGGAAACCAGCTGGGACCCATGCATGCAGGGTGTGCTTGGCCAGGCAAATGGGATGGAGTCACAGGTGGGCAGGGAGTGGTGTCCAGGAGTGGGATGGGCAGGTGGGGGGGCGGGGCTGGGACTGTGATCACGGGGCAGTGACAGCATGGGGCCGGGGCCCGGGAAAGAGCCGTGATCTGCTTCCTGTATGACAGGGTCACACGTGAAGTAGATTGCAGTTCTGCCCCAGGCCCTGGCCCCACGCTGTCACCACCCTTTGATCCAGATCCTGGCCCCAGCCCTGGCGCTGCCCACCCATCCTGCTCCTGGATGCCACTCCCTACCCACCCACAGCCCCAACCCATCCACGCAGCCAAGTGCACCCTGCCCATGGGGGTCCCAGGCCAGTCTCTGTGGAGACCCTGCCTGCCCCCTGCCCACTCCGTCTGGTGCTCCTGGCAGTGGGTGTGGAGTGGACAGGCTGGGATGCCCATGCAGCAGGGCTGGGGCTGGCAGCTGGCAGTGGCAGTGTGGGGGCTGCTGGGAAGAGCAGTCAAGCCATCGTGCCATCGCCGCCCCACCATGCACCCAGGGGATCTGGGAATGGCCACATGCACCACAGCCCAGGTTGCCCCCTGTGCTGAGGCTGGGTGGGGACCATATTTTGCCCATCCTGGTCTAAATAGAGCCCAGGAACTGCCCCTAAATGTGTTTCTAGGTATATCCTCTGTCATATTATCTGAATAAGGCAGTGTTAAAGTTGGAGTGGTTTTGCTATATTCATATTGTTCCAGACTTGTCCACAAGTAACAATTAGAACATAAAAGCTGCTGCTCTTTTGAAATGTTCCTTTTTTCAAATGACATTCAAATGAGCCCTTGCAGACTTGATTTCCATCTTACCGAGGACCATGTGTATACTGGCATCCATCATGGGACTTGATTCTAAATTGACTAGAGCATGAACAGCTGCTGCCTGTGGGGACTGCTCTCGTGTCACTCCCTTCTGCAGTAAGATCACTAGAAAAGATGTTTCCTCACTGGCTGGTGAGAATAAAAAGTCTTGTAACCACACAACTTTCAAAGGCACTTTTGACATTATGAATCCATGTGCTTCAGTGCTGAAACTACAGACCTTCAATTAGGCGCTAGGAATAAATTACATATCAGGCATTAGAGTCTATTTTTTGTGTTTGACACCCCTGTGTTTTGTTGGTTTAAATGATGATAACAAGAAAAGTGCACATTTGTTTAACAGAATGTCACCATGTGACCAGGAGGTTTGATAGGCTTCCAACTTGGAGCCTTCCCATTTACTTCAGAGGAAATCCAGTCAAAGTTCATTTAAATAAAGGAACTGTTAAAGAGTTAGATCATAGAAATGATAGAAAAGGCAGGTTGACCTCAGGAGGTCATCTAGTCCAACCGCCTGCTCAAAGCAGAACTATCCCTAACTAGAGCATCCCAGCCAAGACTTTGTCTAGCTGGGTCTTTAAAAAGTCCATTGAAACATGTTTCAAACTGCTTGCCCAATTAGTGGAAGATCCTATAAAAATAGATTTTTGCCATAGGGAACCTATATGACAGATTTGGGGCCCAATTTAAGAATAGCTGATAACTGTATATACAATATCTAGGTTCCTTTTGGGTCTGGAAATACAAACTGTCTCTATTTTTGGTAAAATAGCTATAATTTCCAGTTCTGTCCTTTTCCCTGCCCAATGTATTGCTCTAGCATTGTCATTCCCCTTCTTTTTTTGGCCTCCAAATGTCTCCCAGTAAGAATTTCAAATGTTGTCAAGAAACAGCTGTCTTAAAGTAGATGGGATCTGACACAAAGTTCAATCGCATTTGGGTTTAGGGTTCTGCTGCAGCCCAATACAAAGATTTGGCTCTGGATTCGCATCTGGATTTTGAACACTCAAGATTTTGGGCTTCAGAAAGTGGAAGTATGGGACAACCCTACAAAAGCAAAAGAAATGGTACAAAGAACTGGGGGAGGTTCCTTTCTCCTACATAACTCTTGCCACTGTCCCCTTGATAAAGGCTACAGGGTAACTCATTCAGAGGCTTGGAAGAAAAGAAACAGGGAGCACCACAAAAAGGCGGCTACATGGGAGCTTCAGAGTTTATTATTGTCCGCAAAGTTGTCTGCTGCCATCTATCCCACCACTTCACCCCAGACTGGCAACATCAGACTCTGCAGCAAAATCCCGCAGTTGCCTGCAGGGGTGCCCTCCCCTCCCTGCTTCCGCTGCTAAACTGGTGATAGTCTTGTATTCTATGCAGTCAGTATTTCTTTGAGTAGCCACTTTCTTCATTCTTGTCACTTGCTCAACATGGTCACTGCCCTTTGAAACTTAACCTGTAACAGCTTCATAAGATGGTTGCTTCGTTAACAGTTTCCTCTAAGCACCATATGGTCTCATTGTGACTTGAAATCCTGCTATTAATGTCATGTGGCGGTTGCACCTCTACATGGCCCTAGTTCCATCTCCATTTCCACATTGTCAAATATCCCTTTCATGAGCTTTCTTCCCTCACAGCAGCAGCACAAGTTCAGTGCCTTGAACTGACCCTGAACATGGTCCTAGGGCTGGAATGTAGTGAGGGAACATTTCTCTTTTTAGATGTCCCCTTTCAGCCAGCTGTTCTTGGCTACCTGTCCCAACCCAGGCCGGGAGGCTGGACTGAACTGGAGCAGCTGGGCAATGAGAGCTTTGCAGGCTTCAGGCAAGGGGGGCAGACCATCTGGGTACAGGACCCCCTTTTTTTGGCGCCGGGGCATGCTATGAATGTGGGTGTCATCAAAGGGCATGCAGCCAGTTACCATCACATACAGAACCACACCCAGGCTCCACACATCATACTTCTTGGCATCATAGGGGATACCCAGGAGCACCTCAGGCGAGGCATAGGCAGCTGATCCACAGTAAGTGCTGCTCAGGTCAGGGTAGCCATGCGCCTCCTTACCGAAGCCAAAGTCAGTGAGCTTTGCCCGGCGGCCATCAGAGGTAAGCAGCACATTCTCGCACTTGAGATCCCGATGCACCAGATTGCGGTCATGTAGGTAGCGCACAGCACTCACAATTTGTCCAAAGATGTCCCGGGCTTCAGGAGCACAGGGTAGTTTCCCCAGCCGCTGCACCAGCTGGAGCAGGTCAGTGGATGCTGCTTCCATCACAATGTACAGTTTCCCATTGCAGACTTCAATGAACTCAAAAACTCGCACGATATTGGGATGCCGAATCACTCGCAGGATGGAGAGCTCCCGGGGGAGAAACTTGTGTACAAAGTCTGGGGGTGCCCGACGCCGATCAACCACCTTGATGGCTAGTGGGCCCTTGTACTTGGTTGAGGTGGCCACCCTCACCTTGGAGTAACTGCCCTCACCTAGGGTCTGGCCCAACTTGTAGCCAAGTTCATTAAGTAGTTTGTCTCCTCCAGAGGTCCTTGACATGGTTCAGGGTGGCTTAGTGGGTTCCGATGGGCTCGATTGACACTGGTGTTTTTGCTCTAAGGATTGAAAGCTTTAACCCATCATGCATGGCAGCTGTTGACCTTCATACCCCCATGTTCTCACTGGGTATGTGGTCTTGGGACATCACTGCTTACCCAGGTATTGTGATGGGTTTGAGTGTCATGTGCTAATCCCTTTGTGGGTTGCCAAGGATGTCAAAATAGCTCCCTTTCCTCCCTCTCCTACGTGCACCACATAAAAAAACAAAAGGAAAACTCCTGTTTATCCAGTTATAGTCTTTTATTTTTTCCACCCTGAGTTTAGGAGCTCGTTTTTGCCATAATAAGAGTATAATAGGGAGCATTCTGGCAGGAGCACTGTGTGTCTGGCTGTTTATGAGATCTATATAGATATATCTATAGCTATATAGATCTATCTATCTATCTATCTATCTATCTATCTATCTATCTATATTATATATATCTATATCTATATAGCTATAGATATATCTACTTCACAGGACAGTCACTATATTAAAAGTGGAATTTACAGGAAATGATGAGGGAGTGATTTTTATGCCAAACTACAAGTATTTTTGGATTATGGTAAAAGTTTATTTTTAAGTCTGATGATGTATTAGAACATTTGCCAGATATTTTGTCTTCCCTAAGAGAACTGTGAAGTTCTCTTCCAGCAACGAACCCTTAAGAACTGTTCCTTTCCTGAGTTCTCAAGTTTGGAATCATAGTCCTTTTATGTATTTATATATTTATTTATTTTTAAATTATTTCAGGTTTTGTATAAGAGAATTCTGACCAGAGCCCCCAGAGAGACGCACTATGTTCTACGTTTTATATTTTGTTAAGACAATGATCGCTGCTCTGAGGTCATATTTGAATAATTATAACATGTATTTTAGACTAAGTCCTGCTGAGAGAAATAAAATATTTTATTTTTCCCCCATTTTCTCTTGTTGAACTAATTTACTTAATCTAAACAGGCTTTGTGAACTTCTTAGAATGTTGTGCCCTTGATATAAAAGTGGATTATAAGGAATTTGTATATATACCATTCTAAATTTTTTTTAGAGTGTAAATACAAATGGAAAAAAGAGCACCTGTCCCCCTTAACAAGCGAAGGAGGTAACAGAAGACCTGTATATAGTCAAGCACAGAGAGGATGTAGATAGTCGTACAGGCTGCCTATACACGTGCTTGGAGGTGGGGGGGCATTTATGTAGAGCGGTTCCAAGACAGCTACTCTTATTAAAACAGCTCATCATCACGTGCATTGAGCCCCCCCACATTTCAAAATGACTGTAGGGGCACTTCAACTAAAGCTCACAAGGTTTAGTTAAAGCACCCCCATGGCCAGTTTGAAACAGAAGGGCTTAAATGCACATGACGGTGAGGTGACGCTGGAGCGTAATGATTACAGCTCAGAGCAGGGTCAGTTAATCAAGTCTGCTGCAGTGCGTTCTAATTAGAATGTGAACGAGCACATCTATAGGTAGCCACGAAGTCCATGTCTACTCAGATGAGCCTAATATAATACCACTAGTTAGACCCATGCAAAGGCACCAAGAAAAGGGCCAAATGAAGTTCTTTGCTATTTAGTTGAATATGTGGGGAAGAATGAAATACAGATCCAGTGCAGAGCCATGCTACACAAAGGGAAGTGGAGAATATTGTACCACACAAGACAGCAGAGCAGGGGGAATTGAGAAAGCAGAAATCAGTTACCTGAGCTGGAACTTGGTCAGGATTCCAGAATTAGTCTTCCAAGCTCCTGTGAAATATGCAGATGGATTTTTAATGACCTCTCTCATCTGAAAGACATCAGCAAAATGTCCCTGTACAACCCTGCTGGATTTTAGATCCCATAACTAACTTGGAGCAAAGCCTGCTGCTGTCTGCTCTCCCTCCAGTTCTGAACAATGGGCTTTTTCCAAATAGCTCCGAAGTTCTAAGCCGCATCATAGAACAGCTCCCAGCACACTGTGTTTCTGCCTTGATGTTAAAGCAGTCTGACACCACAGCCCTTCTATATTTCTTATAATATTTAATAATTTGAGCCTAATTGGGAGAAAATCAGTCCTGGACTAAGAACCAGTCTCTTGTGATTCAGTCTTTTTAAAGTCACTGAATTGTACAAATACATAAATAACAGTTATTAGAGATGTGCTGAGATGCATTTGATGAAACCGGATGGCAGCTGAATATGGCAAGATGCTAGGCAACACAGTTCTGGAAACTACATGAAATGAAGGTGCAGGGTAAAGGCTGTGCTGTTTGGTTACAAGATGGAGTGTTTGCTTCCTCTTGCGTGTGGATGACAGGAGGAACAGAAGGGCTTTGACTGTGACTGGCATGTGCAAGAAGGAAAGGGAGGGAGGGAGTTTTTTGTTTCTACATCCATAGCATGGTCAGGCACAATCTGGCCCACAGACTCTTTCCATACAGGCCATCAAATAAACAGCCCTAAAATTCCTACTTTTGAAGTGGTTTAATCATAAACTTCTTTCTGCAAAAGAATTTGTCCAGCTTCCTGGTTTCACTGAATGATGGAGAGTTTGTGAAAGGAGGGAACAAAGATGTGAAAGAAACAATTGACTAAATGACTAAAGCAAACTACAACTGAAGGAAAAGAAAGAAAGAAATGGATAAGCAAAGAATTCTTTCCCCAGAATTCAAGTTAGGAAAGAGCTGCATCTTGGACTTTATGCCACTATATTATTTAAGCCTGGAAAAAAAAATCAGCACAGCCCTCAATAGGCCAGCTATAGAAAACCATCTACTTCTGTGGGCTACAAATTCATTCCTGGCTCTTACTTTTAGACTATGAATCATAACCACAGTGATTCCAGATGAGGTTTGGCTGCACTTTTCAGTAAGAACTAAAGACTGAGAGTGACAGAGTACAACTGAACTGAAGAATTTTTTTGAGAAGATAACTGCTGGTGGGCCTGGACAAACTTTTAGTATCGGGACCCCCTTCACCAGAGATAATGATAATAATAATAAAAAATTATCATTTTCAGGCCCCCCTTTCCATCCGGGTCCCAGGTGGCTGTCCAGTTTGCCCATGTCTGTGTCTGGTGCTGCTCCCCTTTGTTCACAGTGGTTAGATCAGGGTTTTCTGCTCATTACCACAATACCCTGAGAAATGTGGATGTAAGTTTTCTTGGTGGGCAGGAAGATGCCATTAATTGTTGTGGTCCTGTTGATGCACAGTACTTTGCTAAGGCTGCAGTTGGATTTCAGGCTGTACAGCAGTGGCATACAGGCCCTTGGTGGAGTTCTCTACCATGATGTACGTAAAGCACAGTAGGGGGAAAAATGAGTCTTTGCTATGATCAGTTCCCAGGTGTTCCAGGCTGCTCATCAGCACCCTAAGGCAGGGATCAGTGGTCTTTAGCGTCATGCTGGTAGCAAGGAGCTTCTCCTGCACCCTTGCCAGGTGTGGAGTTTATTGGGGCTGGGTGGAGAGTTGCATCCACACGGCAACTGGGGAGGAGGAGGTAGGGAGAAGGGCAGCAGGAAAAAGCTCTCACTGCCATTGCAATGTGGCTGCATCAAAACCTTGGCCCACCTTGGACCTGATCAGAGTTGTTCTAGCCCCTGGGTCTGAAAAGTTGTTGACTGATTGAGATGAAAAATGCTAAGTGGGCTGAGTTTTAGCCTGCAGTTGTTTCAGGGACCACTTTGTGGGGGCTCAGTGTGGCATTGTAGTGCTATAAATAGTTTTGTAAGTAGGACACCTAGATGTCCTTTTCACCACAGAGGATGATGGCAGTCTGGGCCTGGCAGCAGGCTGCATAACATTATAGGTACATAAAAGGATTATATGTACCTAGGACTGGTTGCCCATGACATTATAGGTACATGCGAGGATTATATTCAGATTGCCATAATGCAAGTTAGGGAAATAGAAATGCCCTGGTGTGCAAGTGTTCACAGGGCTTAGGTCACCCTAAAAATAGCGCATTCAGTGTAGAGTTAATTCACCTTTGAAGGTAAGCTAAATTTAGATTGGCAAAGGGTTAACCTGATCTAGCAAGGGTGTTCACTAGGCCAGATTAACCAACATGCATTTACAGCACAGACCTTGGGCTGGGAAAACCTAGCCACTCAACACAGCCCAGGGGCCATGCTGTTTTGACTGCCCTGACCCTTACAAAGCTATTTCCCCTGCCCTTGGACTGTGCAATCCCCCCACACCATGGACCTGCCAGACTCCCCCAGTCCTGCTAGCCCCTTCCCTGCCACCCCTCTGGAATAGTAATGGGGAGGACAGAGACACAAGGGTACTAGGGTAGTCTCAAGGAGGATAGAGAGGAGTCCGCGGAAGGACAAAGTGGCATGTTGAAGACTGTTCATTCAGAGCACAGCTATTTACCATGCTGTTTGGGAAGTAGGCACTCTGATCCCCTTCCCCTTTGAAAAAGAAAACACTCTCCTTCTCGGGAGTTGAGCAAAGAAGGAGCTGTCTGAGCTGGGGAGTGTTATGGGTTGCTGGGAAAGCCGGAGGCTTGCTTCCTGTAAGACCCCATCAGGGCTGGCTCCAAGGGGGTCCTGCAGAGAGACAGACTGAATAAGGCTTATTTTTTGGAAAGCGTCCCCTCAAAACTGGCATCATCCTATGACACTGCTAATTTAAAGTTCATCATAATCCTGCATCCACTGAAGTGAACTCTTCAGTTTGCATTTTTTCAGCAAACAGGGAAGAGGCTGCTCTAGACATATTAACAACCAAGACCTCCACCTAGGCCTTCTCTAAATCAAAAGCAGTGCCCTCACTGTCAACTATCATACAAAACAGTTATCAAGCCAAACATTTTGAAAGGCAATGCTTTGTTGGTTTGGGGGGAAACGCCCAGGTGAAAACACAGTTGGAGAGCGGAGTTACTAACAATCCATTTCTCCCTTCTCTGTAAACCCAGAGCTAAACTGATGTTAGCTGGTTTTGTTTACGAGCCAGCTGTTTTTGTGCAACTCTATTCTTAGCCGTGTCCGTAGCCTACAGTTTGCAGTATGGCATGTGACTTGCAGAAAAAGCTTCAAACTGAGGCAGTAAGAGGAATGAATGAGAGATTTCTTTTTTGCAAGACAGTGTCAGATAGAGACAGAGGAAAGATCTCT